GTATTTGTATCTAATCCTACCCCATTGGCTAATTCTGACCAATTAATGTCCACATCATCCTCGTCACCTGAGCTTGAAGATATTTCATCGTCACTCTCACTCAGTTCATCATCTGAGCTTAAAGATCTTCCATCGTCTTTCTCACCTGATCTAACTTTTTCAACGTTGCTTTCTACTCTTCTCTGAGGTGTTATACAGCTGTTTGCAACATCCCACAACATTTGAACTGTATTTGAATCTAATCCTAACCCATTGGCTACTCCTTCTTTAATATCTGACCAATTTATGTTCTCATCATCCTCATCCAGTTCCTGTCCAGAGCTGGAGGACGAGCTACCAGAAGCCACGTTGTCACATACCAGATCCTGTAGACCAAACGCCAACAAAAATTCATCTAATTCATTGAGCCTCTTTACCTCAGCCTGCCCACTTGTAAGACCACTTGCGTCTTCAGACAATAAATCCACATCGACCTCTAAAACAGAGCTAATTGTCTCACCTGCATCAAAATCATCAGGCTTGTGATTAAATCTGTCCTCCATAGCCAAACACGTTTCCTCTTCATCATCATTTAAAACATCTAGTGTTCCACCCTCACCATCAGAGTGACAAGAGCTGGGCGACCAGCTAGGAGAAGAATTACCGTCATCTAATTTCTGCTCTGAAACGAACGTTTCAGCCGCAGGGCTCACAGACATCAAGTTTTCAGCGTGACTTTCGTGTTCAGGCAGTGATTCTTCATCTTCTTGTTCGAAGCAACTTGTTTCGTCTCCATCAAGACTTTCAAAGCTGGCAGAGAGCAAATCATAGTTTTCCTCTGAATCTGAAGATGTGTCGCCCTCACTCACTTCTCCTTCTGAAAAAACGGACGTTTCATCGTCTATGTCCTCTAAACCTTCATCAGTAGGAGACATGTCCTCATTTTCTTCTAAAGAAAGTGATATTTCATCTCTTTCTTCAAAGTTCTCCTCTATAATTGTAGAAAGACCAATCTGATCGTCATCCTGATTCTCCCAAATAGTCTTAGTCCGAGATAGACCAACGTCCTCCCCCCATTCGGTATCAAGATGAGAACCGCTGAGAGGAGCTATATTTTCACAATTTAGGTCCTTCACATCTGTTTCTAACCCGAGTTTGCAACCCATTCCTTCGTCCATGTAAGGCAAGTCGCTGTCATCGTAAGGCAATGAGTCAAGGTCACTTTTTGGCTCAGACCAGGCCTCACATTCATCATGAAGCATTTCAGATCTGTCAGACACGTAATCGTAATCTTCTGTTGAAACCGGAGATGTTTTCGCTTCTCCTTCCATAAAAGCCTCTAATTCTGTAAAACTGGGCGACATTTCCTGCTTTTGACCTGAAGAGAGCGAGTTTTCATCGTTCTCATCGAAAAGCTCCTCTGTAGTTGCAGAACAGTCGCCCTCACATAAATCCTTTTCTGAAGACAATTCTTCTGACTGAATTTCTCCAAAATCTTCCTTTAAAGTGAAAAAGACGTCTGTATCTGGATTGTCACAGGAGAGGTCATCTTCCGAATGAAATAACGACAGATCATCTTCAGCAGGCGTTACAGAAGAGGAATAAGTCGTGACTTCTGATGCTAAACCGTTTCCTGACGTAACTCCGTCGTCCTGAGAAGCCGACACATCTTCCAAAGAAGAGTGGAGTAAAGCAGCTTCTGGACTAAAGGAATATCCGTCATTTTCACCAGACGTCTCAGACAAGTCGTCAAAGTGTTGTTCAGGAAAGTCCTGAGCAGAGATCGGTATTTCTGCTGCCTGGTCTCCGAACGCCGTCTCTGAAACTGCGGCTAACTGTTTTCCTCTGAAAACCACAAACTTTTCCTCATTTTCAGTGAAGTTTTCGCTGGGAGACTTCGAGCCAGATTCTCTAAATTCAAACGCATCCAAAGCTGACGTAGTTACTTGATCTGACGTAAAATCAGAAAATGGTTTTTCAGTCAGTGGTTCATGGGCCACAGAGACGCTTGTCTGGTGACCAGAATCCTTCTCTTCATGGAAAACCGATGGTTCGACATCTCTGAGTAGACCGGTTGCTAATTCCAGCCCAAAACCACCGTTGCTTTCATATTCTTGTTTTTCTAAAGCGGATAAACCGTCTTTTGTTTCTGCGTAAGAATATTTAACATCAGTTATGTTCACTTTCAGAGAGAGAGAATTCACCCCTTCATCTTCTGTAATCAATGGTTTGACATCTTTGAGTAGACAAGTTGAAATTTCGGGTCCAGGGCTATTAAAATCAGACTCCGGTTGTTCTATAGAAGATAAATCCTCTTTTTCTGCGTCTCCATAAAAATATTCATAAGCGATTCTAACACCTTTAGTAATTAGAGCACCTGCTACGAACCCAGTAACAGCAAACATGGCTGTACGGGTCGTTAAGAGGTTACCAAATCCACGCATCCTTCCAGCTAAATTCAGCTTGACTGACTGACGAAGTGCGTTCTAGCGCGCTATTTATAGGCTGGCAGGATGACGTCACAAAGGGACGTGATAAAAGGGTGGAGAGGAGCATGCGCAGACGTGATCAAAGGGTGGAAAGGAGCACGCAGACGTAATCAAAGGGTGGAAAGGAGCACGCAGACATGATCAGAGGGGTGGAGAGGATCAAAGGATGGAGAGGAGCGCAGACGCAGCCAGCAAGCTAAAGAAGCTGTGTCACGTGCGTCTTCAGCGTTTGTGAGATCACGTGACTCCATTTCCTTTACAAGCTTTAAGGAGTCACGTGGTTGTTTCATGGATTTTTTTTTACCTTAAGCAACCGTAGTTATTAGAATAAACGAAATTAATTTTGCATTTTTATGGATCTTAGAACTTCCTCGTGAGCATAAAGTGGGTGTAAAATATTAAAAGCGGGTTGTTTAGGTTAATAAAATAGAATTGAAGTGTTTTCAATGTGCATTTGTTTATTTAACACAAGCCTGATAAAGCAGGTACCTTCTGAAAAGGTAAATTATTTTGTTATTTTAATTATTCGGATTGTTCCCGCCGGGTCACGACCGTTGTGAACAAGTCCGTTTGTCAGACATTTATTGACTGAACAGTTACTTCTCTATAACCTCAAACATGGTCAGTGCCGTGGGAACACGTGCTGACCGTGTTTAACATGTTTATATAGATTTATGTGTAATAGTCGTCAGCCTTCACTTTTCTTGGTTCATTCTTCAACATAACAGCAGCTTATTACCACCAACACTGGAAAACTCACATGACAAGTCAAAACTTCCAGAATCCACCGAACATGGGGCTGATGCTCTGCAGCTGCAGACAGCAGATCTGACACCTGAGTGTTCATCCGCAGAAACAGAACCACCCTCCAGGAACATCTCATGTAACGGAAATTAAATGTGCACGTGCCACCACAGAAAAACTGTTTCAAACCAACATCAGCAAACATCAGTGCAGTAACGGTTCACCATTTTTAGTTCCGTTGTTCACACTTTTTTTACAGCGCTTTGTGTTCTGCTCTGAAGGTTTGAACTTTGAGAAAGTTTAAACACGAGAGAAAAGTCAAAACGTGCATGCATATCTGAAAGAAGTGCATAAGGTGTGTAATGAGGGTTTTTTGCGGAGGTGCGACAAGCACGTGCGGGGAGAGGGGCGCGCGCTGTGCCACAGATGGAGCGCATCAGTGGCATAATCTGCGCTCCTGCACAGGAGGAGACGCAAATCTGCTTAAATGCTGCAAACAAACGTTGAGAAACGGAGTCTGGTGTGTTTTCGTGTGTGACCCAAAAGTAGCTGCTTACGCTAATTCTGTAAAATCAACTTAGTGGATTTTGCGGGTTAGAACGTAACTCACGCGCTTAAGGACCACTGTAACGAGCACAGATCTGATCAACCTTTCCGACAGAGTGAACAAAGAGCATTGGCCTTCTACTAGGGGGAAAACGGTGCGCTCGCTCCTCATTGCATTAAACGACTGCATGAGAGAGGCAGCTCACAAATCACTTTCGTGATTCTTTCTCCCCTGTTTCAGGGGTGTAACACAACAAGCGTACCGTATTATTGAAAACAGGGAATACTAATGATGTTTTTAGCCTGCCTGTTTAGATTTTACATTTACATTTATCTTATTTTAATTTATTGATTTGATCATATTATATCTATCTATCTATCTATCTATCTATCTATCTATCTATCTATCTATCTATCTATCTATCATCTATCATCTATCTATCTATCTATCTATCTATCTATCTATCTATCTATATATATATATATATATATATATATATATATTCTCCTCCCCCCTCCCTCCCTGAAAACATTTAACAAAGCAGTCACTCATAGAGACCACTGCAAATGAAATAAAAATAGGAGTAATCAAACATTCATCTTGTTTAGATATGTTTAAATTGTTCATTGCTCTTTGTGTTTTTGGTATAATTTCATCAGAGATTTTTATCTAATATATTTTATAACTGGACAGAAAAACAGCTACAAATGTCATCTATGTTGTGTTTGTGAAGAGGGACCAAGGAACCCCATGTGGCCCCAGAGCCACCGATTATAGACCCTTGAGTAAAAAGAAAAATCAAATAACAGTCAAAATGTAGAAGACAAAAAAAAAACTAATAGCATGAACATTCCTTCATTTTTTTCACATTTCAGCAACATCCGTTGCCCTGAGTCAAATGATCTTTTTATTTTAACTATTGAATATTGAATATTAATAGAGTAGTCTTCCAGAAATGCTTTTTTACAAACTTGAGTAAGTTTCCATGCTTCAGATGTTTTTACTTTTGCTCATCTCGACGTTTGGGATAAATGACAGCTTAGACAAAGCTCGTGACGCCACAGCAGGGATCAGCCCAGCTGTCTGGTGAGTTGTTCTACCAGAATTAAACAGCAGCATCATTCAGCTGTTTGTCTTGGTCTCTCTCTGTGTGTGTGTGTGTGTGTGTGTGTGTGTGTGAGAGAGAGAGAGAGAGAGAGAGAGAGAGAGAGAGAGAGCTTTCTGTGGATAAGGTCTATAAATACCTCTGACTTACACACTGACTGACGGTCCAAGACAGCTGCAGCCACCAGCCTTCCAACCCATTGAGACTATTTGTGGCCATCTGAACAGCCCAGAGGTCCTGACGATCCCGCTCCGCTGTAGGAAGCAAGGCGAAAACTCAGCCAGGACAGGGAAGCTGAACAAAATGGCTGCTTTGACGATAGATCCCATTCAGCAGCCTCGGATGTACCAGCAGACCTTGCTTCAGGATGGATTGTGTGATCTGTTGGAGAATGACAGATTTGTGGATTGTGTTCTGAAAATCCAGGACAAAGAGTTCCCCTGCCATCGTCTGGTTTTGGCTGCCAGTAGCCCTTTCTTCAAGGCCATGTTCCTGTCTGACTTGGAGGAGAGTAAGAAGAGGGAGATAATCCTAAAAGATGTGGATCCTGGTGTTATGGGGATGATCCTGCGCTACCTTTACACATCTGACATTAACCTGACAGAGCAGAATGTCCAGGATATCTTCATGGTTGCCAACATGTACCAGATCCCTTCCATCTTCTCTGTGTGTGTGTCCTACCTCCAAGAGAAGATGGTGCTGAGCAACTGCCTTGCCATTTACAGACTAGGCCTTCTTCTCGATTGCCCAAGGCTCACTCTGGCTGCCAGAGAGTTCATATGCGAGCGATACCAGGTTGTTGTCCGGGACCAGGAGTTCTTGCAGCTAGACCCCAGTGAATTGGCCATCATCATCACATCAGATACTTTAAATGTTGAACGAGAAGAGCTGGTGTTTGAGTCGCTGATGGACTGGGTCAGGCATGATGAGACGACGCGGTTGAAGGATCTGCCTGAGCTGTTACATTGTGTCCGATTCAGGCTCATCCCTGTGGAGTACTTCCAAGAGAAAGTGGAACGCCACGAGTACATGAGGTTCAACCAGGAGATCAAGAAGGAGCTGGAGCTTGTCAAGGATGCTCACAGAGGGCTTCTCCCCAAGCCAAAGAGCCTTACCAGTGACGGGGCAAAGGGAGGACAGGAAGGTGAAGATGACCAGGAGGAGGAGGGATACCTGCCTGGGATACTGAACAACAACCCTCGCTTTGGAATGTTTGAGATGGACCTGATACTCATGATCAACAGCACAGGGACTGTGGCCTATGAACCAGTGGGAAACGAATGCTTTGTGGTGTCGGAGTCTACAGAGATTCCCAAGAACCACTGCAGCCTGGTGACGAGGCAGAACCAGGTGTTTGTTGTTGGAGGGCTTCTCTGCAGTGAAGACGACAAAGATGAACCACTCAAGTCTTATTTCCTACAGGTAGGCATCCAATCATGAAGACCGCATTTTACAACAACCAGTCATTGTCTACGCAAATCTTCAAACGTTTTTTTAAAAAGCCTCTTTTCGTTCCTAGCATTTCCATGGTTTCATGTTTCAACCTTTCCATCCATAGTTTGACCCAGTGAGTTCAGAATGGTTAGGAATGCCATCACAGCCCAGCCCCCGCTGTCTGTTTGGGATGGCTGAAGTAGAAAACTCCATCTATGTTGTTGGTGGAAAAGAGCTGAAGGAAGGGGAGCACGCTCTCAGCTCCGTCATGATCTATGACAGACAGTAAGTTTAAAGTTACACGGTTTAAAGGTGCATTATGTAGAAATGAAGTAAAAATGACACCTGTGGTAAAGTTTGGTTACTGCAACCACTTTAAACAACTCCTTTGAGCAATTGTCAGTGCTGCAGCATGAACTCACAGGAGACACGGCAACCCCACACTCACTGATGGTAGTAACAGTAGTTACGTCCCTCCTTCCTTTGTTTTGAAAGAAGAAAAAGTGGCAATCCCCGCAGCCAGCTGGATATGAAATATGTTTCAGAATAACCTTCCTTCCTAAATGACGAAACATTAGACTCTTGGCATTTTCTCGCTGTAAAATTCTCGCTATATTCTTACATACTGCAGCTTTACACTTGCGAGAAGGATGTCTGATGAAGTCATAACTGAAAGATTTCTTTATTACGTTGTTTTAAAGTTTGTAAAATTGGGATTAACCAGGTTCTTCTTAATCAGAGACCTGACCGCTTGAATTTATGGGTCATGCCTTAAAGTGACAGTGTGTAGTTTCCCAGGTGATGGGGGCAGTAGCAGATGGACGGACGGACAGACAGACAGACGGACGGACAGACAGACAGACAGGTAGATAGATGGACGGACGGACAGACAGACAGACAGACAGGTAGATAGATGGACGGACGGACGGACGGACGGACGGACAGACAGACAGACAGACAGACAGACAGACAGACAGACAGACAGACAGATAGATAGATAGATAAATGATAGATAGATAAATGATAGATAGATAGATAGATAGATAGATAGATAGATAGATAGATAGATAGATAGATAGATAGATAGATAGATAGATAGATAGATAGATAGATAGATAGATAAATGATGGACAGATAGAGTTTGTGGTTGCACCTGTTCTTATTGTTTTGTTACCTTGCAGATCCATTTAAAGCATTTCTCCGTGTTTTGATGGGATTTTTATCTTGTTACATGCTTACAATGAAGGCTGCTGTAGATGGATGTAAGGTAACCTCTAAACTCTGAAACTCATATTTGTCGCATGTTTTACTTGAACCTGATAGTGGACTCCTTCCTTTATTCTGACTAATGCATTTCTAATGTTATTATTCTCTCTTCTTCACAGTATTCTTCTCAGTGATACATGAAATTGGGAGTAATTAGATTCTTTTCAGGTCGCCACCCTGACGCTGGCCTGTTTTTACCCACAGCACAGATCCCTGATCTTTGCCGTGTATGGTGGTTTGGCCGTCCTGGTCACAATGGGCTGGACCTTCATGGCTCTGGTGCTGTCTCACTGCATCATTCTCTACAGCATTGCTCTGGTGAAAAAAAAATGGGTGTGTTTTGCTGCTGGTCTGAGCACGCTGGCCTCCATCAAACTGGAGCCTTATAACTCCTGGCAGGTGAGAGGCTTCACACTCTTCATCAGCATGACGTTTTATCACATTATAACCAAGAGCTAATGACTGATTCATCCTGCAGGAGAACTTGGTGACTGGTTCGTTCAACCTGCAGGACATTCTGTTCTATGGAGGCTGTGGCTTCAGCATCATGCGCTGTATGAGTTTTGCTTTAGAGAACTGTGACAGGAAGGAAGGGAACTACTCATTCTCCGACCTCCTGAGATACAACTTCTACCTCCCGTTCTTCTTCTTTGGACCTATTATGACTTTTGATCGTTATCACGTTCAGGTGAGGTTAAAAAAACATTTCAAAATAAAAGATGCTGAAAAGTTAGCGGCGTTTTGGTAGCTGTTAGTCACAAGCACACACTATGGGTTTGTTAAAGGCGTGGTTCACCCATTTAATCAGTACATTTGCAGTGGTCTCTATAGGGATGACTGTCCTGTAGGTCGTATGGGGGTGGGGGGTGGGGGAGGTGTCACAGATGCGATCGTTTCAAGAAGAACAAGCCAGCTGGAGGAGAAAGTAGCTTCAGATGGCAGGAATTGGAGTCATATTTCCAGATATTTGGATCTCTCACCTCTGATTGGCAAACAGCAACGTGACTGAAGGAGTTCTGCTGTGTGTTGGGAGTTGCAAATGCTAACGGTTAGCTTCTGCTATTTTAGATGTTGTCTGCCGTTTCCCGAGCGTTAAAAACAACAGCCTTCCCTGCCGTAAGTGGAGATGGGGGTGAATGCTAAGGCCTAGTCCACACGTAGCCGGGTTTTTTAAAAAACGAATATCCGCCCCTCCAAAAACTTGCATCCACACCACCTCGTTTTTAAAAAAACCTCTGTCCACACGTACCTGGATAAATACGTTGTTAAGGACATGCCAGACCTGTAGGCGGCAGTACTTCCCTCATTCTTAACCTCGTCCTTCGTCTGTGGTCTTCCACAAGGAGCAGTAATTCCGCTTGCAAAAACAAACAAGCAAAGAGCGCTTGGACAATTGATAAAGCGAGCGCAGCTCTGAGGGCATCCATGCTGTTGGCTAGTGTAAACACAGGTCGCACACGTGATGTCAGCATTTTTTTGTCGCGGAAAGTGACGTTGCGGACCTTAAAACTCCGGTTTTGTCCGTCCACACGCAGACACCCAAAACGGAGAAAACGCATATCTTCACTTTGGCCGGAGTTTTTAAAAAGATCCGTTTTCGTGTGAAAAAACTCTGTTTTCGTGTGGATGACAGGCCAAAACGTAGGAAAATATCTACGTTTTGGCAGATCCCCGGCTACGTGTGGACAGGGCCTGAGTGACAGTGTGACGTAGATCTGTCAGAATTTTAAAATCCTAGAGTTTCAAAGTCTATTTTCTATCACACGGGTAGGGAACCCTGGTCCTGGAGAGCCACTATCCAGCACATTTTAGAGGTTGCCCTGTCTTAAAATACCTGATTTTAATCAGCAGGTGATTAAAAGGCTTCTGCAGAGCCTGATGAGCAGTTGATTCAACTTTGTCGAAGAAGGGCAACCTCCAAAACGTGCTGGATAGTGGCTCTCAAGGACCAGGGTTCCCTAACCCTGTTCAATCAGAAGCTAATGCAGGAGATAGGTGTAGGAGACTATTTTCATGTTCAGCCTGCATAAAAACTGATTATAGTTAGAATTAAAAAAAAAAAAAAAAAACGTTTTTTCAGGGAATCACACCTTTAACACCCTTGTATGTTATCTTACTGCTTTTGTGTATTTCATAAATATTTCCAGTGCTTTACATGTAATTCCAGTTCGTGCAATAGATGGCAAACATATGCAGCTAATTTAAAAGATGTACATTTTCTTAAGCCCAGCAACACGAGAGTGAGGCCCTCAAACTAGTTTGATACGTTTTGAAAACTTGATTGCAAATGTGCTTTGGTATTTGTTGCTAACAGTTGCAGCCCAGAGAAACACTTCCCTAACAGCAGGTTCAAATGCTGCCTTCAAAGAACAGCTCCAAGCTCCTCCATCTTTCAGCAACTCAGAAGTTTTTTTTACAAACCTTAACAATGATATCAGTTACCTAAATGCAAAGGAAGTCCTACAGTTAGCTGCTGCAAATAACCACAATGTAATATCTAAATAACTGTGTGTTGTAAAATTGTACATATGTTGGGCTGCATCAATAACGTTGAAATAAAATACTCCAACTTCCTCATTTCAGATGACAGTTTGCACTTAGACTAGCCGTTAGCTCGTCAGTCTTGAAGAACGTGATCTCTATTTTCCAAACTGAGGTTGCTCAGGAAGTTTTTGTGCATTGACTAATTCAGTTAATATTTGAGTTTTAGTTGGTTAATTCACATGAGTGATGGTATTGCATTTGACAGGCAAACAACACTCAGCTGACCCGAAAGGAGAGGGAGATGTGGAACATCACCACCAAGGCCTTGTTGCATCTGGGGGTGATTCTGGTGGTGGACGTTTTTTTCCACTACCTTTACATCCTAACTATACCCAGTGACATGAAGCTGGTGGCCAAGCTTTCTGACTGGTGTCTGGGTGAGTGGACAAAGAGGAGTGCCCTGTATCTCCTTCTTATAATGGTTTATGCATCAGATTGTGACTCTTAGTTCCCTGCTCATAAACAATTTAGGTTCTACATTAAACAGTTTTTTTTTCAGTGATAAAGAGAGACTCAGGGACAACATTTAACTGCTTCTTGAAACCTTTTCAGTGAAATCAATTAAATAAAATGCTTGAGAGACTAATGATGAAACCACAATGTTAAACTGTATTAAGTTATGGTCCTGGCATCAGTTTAATTTATTTATTATGACGATCATCACATCAAATCAAGGCTTCTCCAGACCTGCTGTAATACAGACCGCTATGGGAGACCCTTCCTGTCCACAGCCACCAGCATCTATTACCCCTATTCAAAGATTATGAAATGATATGAGATCATTATTGTTGATATTATTTTATTGTTGTTTTTGAAGAATGAGTTACAACACTTATTTTCCCCCTGGAACCATTAAAGTGTTTTTGAATATAATTGAACTGAATCAGACTTAAAATAATATATAAAAGTGTTTTTAGTACAAATTTTCTTTTCAGAAGGTGAAACTTGAAACATGAGAATATGGTGCAGAAGTCAATTTATTTCAGGAACTCAGCTCAGACTGAGAGACAATCTAAAGGCCCAGCAACCCTTTGCAGGTGTTTTGGATTCATTAGCTGATTAGGGTGGTACTCTTGAGTCTACAATATTGTTCCTTTTCACAATATTCTGTTTGAGATTCTGAATGTGGGGTTTTCATAAGCTGTAATTATCACAATTATAACAGATAAAGGCTTGAAATATGTGGCTTTGCATGTAATGAGTCTAACTCATTAGTTTCACTTTTTAAGTAGAATTACTTACATTAATGAACTTTTGAATATTCTAATTTTTCAAGTTTCACCTGGATTGTCAACATCTGTTCATGCCCCTCATCTATTTTTTTTTTTCTTGCAGCTGGACTAGCTTATTCCAACCTGGTGTATGACTGGGTAAAAGCAGCTGTAATGTTTGGTGTCATCAACACCGTGGCCACTCTGGACCACTTGGACCCCCCCCCAGCCTCCCAAGTGTATCACCATGCTCTATGTTTTCGCTGAGACGTATGTGTGACTCACTCTGAGCAACA